CGCGCTTTCTGCAGCGCGCTTTCTTGTGTACACTTCTTCGTATATGCTGTTCATCCAGCTTGGCACAGGAACCATGTAGGCGACGACCGCATTGCGGCACGGGGCCGCTCGCTCGAACACCTTCAGGTTCACGACCTTGGTGTCTGATCTCCTCATCCTACCCCTTCTCCTCTTCCCTCCTCCTCCATGGCTGTTCAACTGATCCCCGTAATTGCATATCGATATCACCGCTTCTACAATCGAGCCGAGCCGCTCGAGATCCATCTGCGAAAGACAAGAGTCGCCCAAGGGGCTGCGCAGTCGAACCGACCAGTGCAACGAGCACGCAGTGGCACGCATCATCGAACCGATCGGATCCCTCCTCCTCCTCCTCCTCCTCCTCCTCCTCCTTCTTGTCTCTCTTCAAGCGAGGAGGAGGGAGGAGGGTCCTGGAGGTCACCAGCAGCTTCTGGAGCTCTCTGGGGCCCCTCGAGGCCGCCAGAATCTCCTGGTGGCTCGCGGGAAGCCAACCGCGCAGCAGGAATTCGACCCTCGGTCCCTAGCTCCAGGAGGGTTGACGAGCAGAGGGAGCGTCTCGCGCCAAAGGTTGTGGTCAGTCTCGCAGCCAGTCTTCTCGGGGTTCGAGCCCCCCCACCCGCGCACGTGGGAGTAAGTATTCGGTGCCCCCAGAAGTGGCAATACTGTCAATATATATATTAATATATATATATATATATAATATATATATATATTATGGTGCATTGCCCGTGCTCAAGAACCGCCACTGCGCTTGCAGCTGTTGGTCTGTCGCTTGCGTTATGACCGCTATGGAATGGCAGCGCCGTTCCCGAGATCGTGGCCTCTGGATTCGAGTGCTGCTTACATCTCACCGCTGTGCATGCAGTGCTCTGGCACACTTCTTTTCCGTCAGCGGCGAGGCGGCGAAATCCGCACCAGCGAGCAGCTAGGTAGGGGCACTATCGGGGATGGACAGACCCCCCTTTAGTTAAACGTGGTTTAGTGAAAACGACCTGAGGCCCAAACCTGGCGGGCGCAAGCCTGGAAAATAACGGCCACGGCGCCCTCTCGAGAATCGAAAACGGACAATTCACTAATCGACGTGTCACTGTTGGGGGTTCTGTCCGCCCCCGACACTAACTAGCGAATTGGCTGGCGTGTAAGGAGGGAGGGGGACGGCCGAGAGGAAGGAGGGACGCTCCGACGCCGAAGGCTCCGGCGACGAGCAGCCGGGCGGGCAGCAGCAGCGATGCTCTGGCACACACGCTCAATGACTTCATGCCCTGAGCGGGCTCCGCCCTCTCCTCCCCCCGCGCCCGCGCCTTCCTGCCCTGCTGTGTCCGATTCGGCCCCGAAGTGCCTCTCGGCCGCCTCCGACCGCAGCGTGGATCCGCGTAGCTGCGACCAAGACATTTTTTCCCTGGCTGCCATCGTGTCTGCTTCCCGTGAAGCAGTGGCCCCCCTCCCAGACGCATCGAGCCTGACGTGCGATGGCTCGATCTAACCAAGCTCCTGCGCCCCTGCCTTCGGCGCAGACCATGGTTCCCAAATCGTCAGTTCGGGTGAAGACGTCCGTGGCACTCGGCCACCCCGCCCCTCCTCGCCTCCTCCAGCCGCCCCGGCAAGCTCCGTGGCGGACTCGCGCGGCAGCGCGCCCGTCTTCAGCGTCGCCGCGCACGTGTCACAAACCCAAGGCGTTCTCGGTCCGTGCTTGCCTGGCGCGGCAGCGCCTCCCACTCCTCCTCCTCCTCCTCCTCCTCCCCTCCTCCTCCTCCTCCTCCTCTCCTCCTCCTCCTCCTCCTCCTCCTCCTCCTCCTCCTCCTCCTCCCTCCTCCTCCTCCTCCTCCTCCTCCTCCTCCTCGGACGCGCGACGGTGCCTGCACGCGCCGAAGGCACTCTCAGTCGATGTCCACGGGGGGCCCCAGGTGTGGCAGGCCCGACCCCCGCACCTCTCCCTTCGCCTGCGCCGGCGCCGCGCCCGAGGGCGCGGGCGCATCTGGCTCCAGCCGATCGCCCTCTGGCGCCCGCGCGAGCGCCTGCTGCAGGCGCCTCCGAGGGTACTTGCCCAGGCCCATCGCACTCGCGAGCTCCTCGAGGGCCTCGCCGTCCTCGCGCAGCTGCCTCTCCGTGACCTGCTCTCGCCGGACCCACGCGGCGGCGCTGGAGAGGTACGCCTCGGCGTCTGGGGCGCTGTCGATGCTCGGCGGCGACGAGAGGGGCGAATAGCCCAGGGGCGGGCATTACACGTATGCGCCCGGGAGCCTTTTCGAAGACATAGATCATCGGCGCACCTGAATACATGTATTGCTCTCCCCTGGGCTATTCGCCCCTGTCGTCGCCTCTGAGATGCTGTCTGCGTCGAGCTGGGCCCCGGCCAGAAGCCGGCGCAGCCACTCTGGCGGCGCCCTCCGCTCGTCGGTGCGCCCGTCTCTGCTGCCGCCAGTCTGGCGCCCCTCCGTGCCGCCGGCCTCCGGTGCCGAGGCCTCCGCCTCGGCCGGCTCGGTCGTGGGGCTCCGGGGGGGCACGCGCTCGCCGGTGCGGGAGCTGCGCCGTCCTGCCCTGCTGCCGCTGTGGCCAGCACCGTACAGCTGCTGGTACGCGCTGAAGTCCTGCGACGTCATGACGAAGAGGTGCCCGCTGACGTCGTCCTCGTTGACGGCTCTCCACTGCGTCATGCCCCGGCCGAGGGGCGACGTGCAGCCCCGCAGGCAGAACTCTGCGGTGGGCTTCTTGTACATGTCGACGCTGTTGTCTCGGACTGTCAGCTCCCACTGGCCCAGATCACCGCTGCCACAGAACTCCTCCTTCCAATATATTCTTATCTCTGGGGCAGAACGATCGTCTTCTGGTGAAAATCTGAAATACTGCGGGCGGCCATTCCTGTGTGATTCTTGCCTGTACATGCCATCTATGCGGATGATCTTGTCCTTGCCCTCCGAGTCCCTTGCTGTAAGGCCGCCGCCTGAGTAGACGACAAAAAGTCGTGGATGCTCCAGTGCCTCGTCTGGCCTGTCATCCACTTGCTCATGACATTCTTTTGGCGTGCAAACCCAAATGTAGTTGTGATCAATCCACCACCTCTCGCCTGGCTTGGCATCTGCAGGCTTCTTCTTCGTGTTGCGAAGAATGACGAAGAGCTTCAAAAGAGCAATAAGGCTAGCGACGGTCACGGCGAGCACAATGGGAACGACATCCCACGACCTAGCGGCGGTCGCTGCAATGAACAACGTTGCCAACACAACCGAACACCCCACAGCTGTCCGCTGTATGACCGCAGTGGCCTCATTGTTGAACCGGGTGGAGAATCTCCCCAGCCAGAAGCGGCGCTGTGCTATGGTCCTCTGGCAGATTCCGAGCTTGGACGTGACCAGGCTGCCATCCACTTTGCTCTTCTCGTGCGCATAGCACTCGCCACAAATACCAATGAAGATATTCATCATAATAATGTTGACAAAAACGAAGGTCATGGCACCAACAACGTGACAGTACATGAATCTAAACCCAACGTATTCGCCTGGGAAGAAAGTCGATTCTCCGACCTCGACCCAGACCGACAAAAACGACTCCACCAGTAACTGCCAAAGAGTCACTGTGCCGCCATCATCATCTTCGCCATGGAATTCGATCACGCTCCAAAGCATAAAGGAGATCCAAGACAACGTGATCACTAACAGCATCGTCTTCATAGCTGTCATGGAGAAGGAATTGAGAATAGGTAGCAAATGCTCCCCGAGGCCATGGAACCTAGACAATTCCACCATCAAGTGCCAATAGCCAGTGTAGAGCGCCAGTGCCATGAATGTCCGGTACTGATTCGTGGGGGTATCCTCCCAAGAATTCCAGCTGGTGATCGACAAGCAGAGGTTCAGCGAAAGAACCACAGCACGCTTGCTGAAGCTCTTGAAATGCTCCATGCTGCCTGAATCCTGAGACGAAGACGCCCTGCGCTTCAAAGAGCCAAGGCTGCTGACAAGGAATGGCAACTCCAAAACCACATCGGGAAGAACTGTTCCCGTGAATACGCTCCAACAGCAAACGATAATTGCGTACTTTGTGCTTGCCCCCATCGCACGTGCGTAATCCGCCAACTCCTGCTCCTTTGAGGTCAGCAGGCGTGTGACACTCTTCTCTCGCCCCCCGACCCTGAACCTGAGCCTTTCATTTGAAGGTGGGCTTGTGGGGGTATGAACTTGCGTGGGGCTCCCCAGGAGACCTCGAAGACGGCCCAGAAGGCCACGACGAGACTCCTCAGACAGCCCAGAAAGGGCCTCCAAGAGCAGCCCGAGACGGCCCCAAAGGGGGACCCAAACGCCCCCCCAAAAAGGGGGCCCCAGAAGGGCCCGGGGGGGCGGCCCGAGGGGGCGGCCCGAGGGGGCCCCACGGGGCCCGCAGCCACAGCACAGGGGGTCCGACGCTGGCCCCAGAGGGCCCCGAGACGGCCCGAAGAGACCCCACCACTACAGCCCTCGTCGAAATTTGAACGCAAGTTTTTTCCACCCCCGTCGCCCCCAAATTTCAATGTTCATCGGCAGGCGCATCGCGGCCGGCGGGGTCCGAAGAAAATCTCGAGGTCGCCGGCGTCGGCGTGAACATTGAAATTGGGGGTCGGGGGGCGCCGCCAGGTCGCGGCTAAAACTTGCGTTCAATTTCGACGAGGGATGTAACACCCAGTTCCGTATTTTCAGCCCCGCATGCTCAGGCTCACTCGCACCGAAATCCACTCAACTCCGGGCGCTCGCACGCAGACGCACTCAGAAAGAGCAGCTCGAATCAGGAGCCGCTTGCGCTCAGACTCATCTGTATGCAGGCACTTGAAGAAGAACGCGCTAGAATGTCGATGCGCACATGGTTCATCTCCGCGTTGACTCACTGTATAATTCTGGCATGCTTGCTCTTTCTGTTTTCGGAGCGCCAAGACCGGCTCAAGACGCCCTCGTGCTCGCCCAAAGACGGCCCAAACAAGCCAAGAAAGGACCCAAGACGACCCAAGAGGGAACCAAAGACACCTGAGGAGGTCCCCCCCCCCCTGAGAGGCTCCAGACGGCCCAGGAAGGCCCCAATATGGCCCAACAATGCCTGCAGGCGGCGCCAAGAGACCCCCAAGACGGCCCAAAGGGACCCAAGACGGCCCAAAGGACGGCAGCAAAACTGTCCAACGGGTCACGAAGACGTCGTCGAAATGACCCCCAGAGACTCCGAATGCGGCCCCGGAGCGAACGAAACGCTTGTCTCGTTGTGTCCCCCGCGAAGCGGCGTGTATCGTCGAATTTGAGGGTAACCAACCACAGCAAAATGATAGTAATTTGCCCCACTAAACAGGCAACGTCCACAACATGAACCATCCTGGACCACCTGTTCCACGTGCAGACTACGATGGCGCGTAAGCTTGTGCATTGGAGAAATAAATCGACCCGTGCTTCGTAACTCAACATCTCCATTTCGAGAAACAGCTCGTACCTGATAATGCCTGGCACGTCCAAAATCTTGACATCGGTAAACTGCGCATTGTTGCAGCTTGAGCTGCTACCCGGGTAAATGAATTTTTCCTGCCAGGGCATCATCGACTCCGCGACCTCGTAGTCAAAATCCCAAACCCTTGAGGGCTCGTAGGTGACATTCATCTGGTCGTCCTTCTGGATGGCCGCGGTCTGCGGGAGGGGGTTGCGGCTTTTTTCCTTGACAATGGGTGTCTGCAACAGAACTTCATCCAGAAACGTTCCCGCTGCAAGTGGTGCTTCCCTGATGAGATGTATCAAAAACCTAACTACATGGTCTGATCCCATGTTTTGGACTTGTTTCCGGAGCTTCTCAACAGCGTCAACGCTTTTGGCCACCTCAGAATAAACAGTCTTGAGAACACTAGGATGTGTCGATCTGACGATGTCCTCCGTTAGTAGGGACTTCGGTGTTTCAACGGCCCCAAAACGAGCCATCTCCCTCACCAGTTCTGGTGGCGCTGTACTGAAGGTTGTGGCCAAATTGACTTTGAAATTGGCATCTCTGCAAATCAGTTCCTTCGCCCTTTGGCTCATGCCCATCCTGGCAGCCATTTCAAGTGCAGTACAACGGTCTTCCAGGCCACTGAGGGGAGGATGGTCTGGGTGGAATCCACGGGCATTCGGGTCTGCGCCATAATTGAGCAACTGATCGAGGACACTTTCATTTTTGTCGAAGCAACACGTCCACAACGTCGTCGTGTGAGTGAAAAAATCCACCGAGCCCCCTCTGCCAGGAGTGAGAAGGCGTGTGGGATGTTTGGCCCCCCCCCCCCTATCCACTTCTGCCCCTCCCAACAAGCCCAGCACTCCGTTGCCTTATTGTGCCGCATGCCTGGCCAGCACATTTGCGTGCGGGTCGGGTGGCACGTTCACGCGAATCAATCCGAATGCAGGGGGAAGAAATCACAACGGCCTAGCACGTAGACGATTTGAACGTGTTGTCGCTTACATGTTACCGAGCGTGCCTCATAAAGTTTTTGAAGGCATGTAAATACGAGAGCGCTGCCGATTTCGAGGTCACAGAGGACCCAACCATGCAACATCTCCCTGGCGTCAATCATTTTGATGATCGTACTCGTTCCACATGGATTTGCGTGTTAGTCTAAGCGCACAAAGAAACGAAGCCTGCGTAGCCTCCGAAGACTCAGTGTTGATCGACAAATACAACATCCTCGACTTTTCAAACAACTGCCATGCCATTCATGGTATCGGAATGTGAAAGCAAACTACATCAACGGACTGCTATTGGAATCGTCGATTTCTAGTTCACCATTCCCTGACTGGGTTCTGGTTGTCCCAGAGCGCCTTCTCCTTCCGTCCTCCCCTCCTCCTCGTCCTCCTCCTCCTCCTCCTCCTGCTCCTCCCTCGCCTCATGCAAGCTCCACCAGTCCTTCTACTTCTCATTCCACCCGTCCATTTCCTCCATCGTACTCCTCCCCGCAAAGGTCGTGCCCTCCCCGCTCCAAAGAAACCCCGCCAGACAGGGGCAAGATTTCGGGATTCCAAATTTGTGTTTTCTCTGCGCGCCCCGCGCAAGCGAGAACCTCACCCCCCACTCCCTGTCTCCTTTCACACTCATCACCCCCACCAACGCCGCCATCATCATCACCACCACTATCATCATCAAGGTCATCATCGTCATCACCGTCATCATCAACAGCATCACCAACATCATGACCACCGTCCTACCATAGTGGTCGGCAATAATCCTCCACATCCTTCCCACTATCACCGTTACCATCACCACCACCATCATCATCCTCGTCAGCATCATGATCATCATCATCGTCACCATCAGCACCATAATAATCATCATCCCCATCAACATCACAACAACCACCATCACCATCACCATCATCAACATCGTCACCGTTTAGTATACTCAACATCATAAACCCCACCATCACCACCACCACAATCATCATCAGCACCATCATCGCCATGTACATCGCCACCATCACAATCACCACCATCATCATCACAAGTATGATCACCATCACGATAATCATCATCAACATCATCATCATCATCATCATCATCATCATCATCATCATCATCATCATCATCATCATCATCATCATCATCATCATCATCATCATCATCATCATCATCATAAGCGTCATCATCACCACCATCCCCATCATCATCACCACCACCATCACCATCACCACCACACCACCATCATCATCATCATCATCATCATCATCATCATCATCATCATCATCATCATCATCATCATCATCATCAGCATCACCATCGTCATCATCATCATCAGCATCTGCATCAGGATCACCATCATCTTCGTCACCAGCACAAGCACCATCATCATTATCAGCATCACTGCCAGCATTACCAACCTTCTCATCGTCAGCATCACCATCAGCATCACCGTCACCAGCATCATCATCTTCATCTTCGCCGTCATCATCATCATCGTCGTCATCGTCATCGGCATCGTCAGCATCACCATCATCACCATCATCGTTCACGCTCTCACACTCACTCACACATTCGCGCGCTCACCCGCCACAGGGAGCCTCGAGCGGGGAGGCTCGCCCGTGAGTGCACCGCGAGGAAGCCCGGAGCAGGAGCCCCCCCCCCTCCCTATGGGGTTCCCACCTCACGCTGGGAATTCGAACGGGCCATCGAAATGCTCGTCGTAGGTCGGGCCTGTCCCCCATACAGGGGGATTTGGGACCAAAAACAGAACATGCGCAAAAATACTTCCAAATGGTCATACAAAGGAATAACAACAAAAATAGTCCCCAGGCTTTGTTTTGACTATTCTGGAATATCCCCCCTGTAGAGGGACAGGCCCAGCGCAATGCCTGTGCCCGTCGTCGCTGCTGGGCTCCCCCGGGGCCGAGCACGGAGCAGGTCTCGAAGGGCAGCCCCGACCGTGAGCGGGTCGTGGGGAAGTCTCGAATCGGAGCCCACCCCCATGGGGCCTCCACCATCTGAGGAGGAGGAGGAGGAGGAGGAGGAGGAGGAGGAGGAGGATGAGGAGGAGGAGGAGGAGGAGGAGGAGGAGTGTCGGCCATCCGAGCGCATCCTCGGAGTGCTTATACCCGTCGTCGCTTTCGGGCTCCCGGGGCCCGAATACGGAGGAAGTCCAAAGCGGGAACCTTTGTCTGCGAGCGAATCGCGATGAAGTCTAGGGTGGCCGCCTCCCTCCCTCCCTCCCTACAGGCCTCGGGAAAAATAGCAAAGACTCATGCTACATTCATCTGTCAACGCCCCCCCCTCCCCCCAATGTTCAAAGTTGGCGGTGGGTTTGATGAGTTGCGCCTCGACCGCAGTCTCTCCCGCGCGTGCCAAGTTTGAGTTTGGGGGGCAGGGGGGATGTTCACTAATTGTTTCCCTCTACCGTATGGCCCCCCAACCCATGTTGGCAATCCGAACGGGTTATCGGAATCCATGTGAATGTCGTCACTTCTGGGGTCCTGAGGCTCTAGTCTGGAGGACGTCTCGAGCGGGCGCCTCGTCTGTGAGTCAACGGCGCGAAAGTCTCGAGCGGGAGCCCCTCACGATGCCCCCCCCCGACCATCTTGGAAATCCGAGCAGGTTGTCAGAGCACATGTAGCTGTCGTCATGTTTTGGCTCCTGAGGCTTTAATTTTTGAGAAAGCCTCGAGAGGGAGTCTCGTCTGTGGGGCGAATCGCGGCGAAATCCCAGGGGGGAGAAGCAGGCGGACGAACAGGAGACCAACCAGGGGGCGGGAGGAGCGCCTCCTTCAGGGCGAGAGCGAGAATGGAGCAGAGGCGACACGGCGAGGCATTCTTCCAGCCTCGCAGGACTTATTCTCATGTGGGGTCCTGCCGTCGGAATGACTCCTCATCGCGCCTCTCCGACCCCTCCAGGGAGGCCCCGCCAGACCGCGGCAAGGTAGCGTGATACCGTCTTATGCATCACATTTCGTCCCCCTTCCACCCTCAACAAAGGAGGCCCCATCAGCCGGCGGCAGGGTATCATACCAGCATGTTAGTTATCAAATTGCGTGCCCCTCCCAACCCTCCAGGAAGTCCCGCCAGACCGCGGCAAGGCATTTGGGATATAATCTCATGAACCAAGTATCCTGCCTCTCTCACCCTCCAGTGAGGCCCCACCAGACCGCGGCAAGGCACTTGGGATGCGAGGTTATGCATCGGGTGTCGTGCCTCTCTCACCCTCCAGGGGGGGGGCCTCGCCAGACCGCGGCGAGGCATCGGGCTACCATCTCATGTGTCAGATGTGGTGCCTCTCCCACCCCTCCAGGGAAGCCCCACCAGACCGCGGCATGGCGTCTGGCCGCCGTATTCATGCATCCGGTCTCGTGCCTCCCGCACCCGCCACGGGGGCCCAGCCCATCGGGCTGCCATCACACGCCTCAAATCTCCCGCCCTCGCCCACCCTCCAGCGGGGCCCCGGCAACACTGCTGATCAAGCTTCGTGCTCCCCCCACCCTCCGGGGAGGCTCAGCCAGACCGCGCGAGATATCGGGACAACATGCTGTGCATCAGCTTTCGTGCCCCCTCTCCAGGGGGGCCGCGTCAGACCGCGGCACGGTATCGGGATGCCATGGTGTTCATCGAGCTTCGTGCCCCTCCCGCCCGCAGCAGCGGAGGCCCCGCCGGACCACGGCAGTGCATCGGAGCGCAGTGCTGTCTATGAAGTCTCGTGCCCCTCCCGCCCTCCAGGGAGGCCCCGCCAGTCTGCGGCAGGGTGTCGTGATGTCAGGTCGGGCATGTCCCCCTACAAGCGGATCTTGGACGGAAAAAACGAATACGAAAAAATAACCAAAAAGTTGCCAAACAACGCTCAAACAATCGTCCCCAGACTATTTTTGTACTATTTTTGAATATTCCTCCTGTAGAGGGACCGGCCCGACTTAATCGTAATGCTATAGGACTTACAAGGTTTCCTGTCCCTCCCACCCCTGCAGGGCGGCCCCGTCAGACCGCGGCAGGCATCGCAGCATCCCCTGCCAGATAGCGGCAGGAATTGGAGCAATGTGTTGATTCGTTATCTGGCTTAGTGCCCTCCCCACTCTAGCAGCCTCATCATTGCCACCTGGCTCTCCAGAGATGCGTCGGAGGAACGAGGAGGGAAAAATTAACGATGAGGACCATGGCGCGTAGGAGGAGTGACGCAAAGCTGGAGAAGGAGGAGAAGGCATGACGACATATGCGGCAGGCGGACGAGGAGTGCATGAGTGCGGAAAAGGAGTAAGTTCAGGAGCAGTGAACCAGCAGTTCAATGAGAGTGTGGGGCGTTGCTTGCAACATTCTGGACTTTCGACTCTTTTGCTGCTGTGGGGAACTCCCATGGCATACTTAATGGTTTTAGTCTCTTTCGATATGCTGTATACGGAATATACATGCTGTAATCTCACCTCCTCGTCTACACCTTACGACATCATCACATATGGAATCGTGTTGGTACGCCGCACGTGTTGTCATCGACACAACTCCAAACGTTCAAAATTTGGCACCTTACTCTGCAAGCTAATCTCCCAGACGCGTCGCACTGGATCAACTGCTTCGGCAATGGCTGGGGCAGCAAGAGAGGGGGGGAAAGGCAGCAAGGGGGACAACGACCGCCGCTGGGAGCCGTGTTGGAGCGAAGCGCCGTACCAGCACCATAGGGCGGCGTCCTGGAACTCTCCTCTCTTGCAAACGAGCCAGGAGCGCAGAAAGACAATCGAGGGCATTTTCGCCAGTGTCTCGCATCGGCGAGACGTTGGTAT